GTTATTTTACACTGTAAGACTGCCACTTTTCTGCTTGCGGGTGGTTGGTGGGTGGTCTGGTGTGGTTTACTTCTTCTTTCCCATGAAACATCTATCGTCCTGATCTCTCCTTCATTTTTCGAGTTTGTTACTCTCTAGTATCACCTGTAATCTCCGGCACCTATTTGACCTAATTGTGTTGGAAGTGCCGTAAAACTCTTACTAAGACTGAATATCCACCGTTCTTATCCCTCCCCCTTTTCTTTTTGAATGTTGCTCTCTCTAGTAACACCTCAAATCCTCTGCCAATATATGACCTAATCGTGTTGCAAGTGCTGTAAAACTGACATAAACGTGTCCCCCCACGTTTCCTCAGGCGGCCCAGTCAGTCCTGATCGCGCTGTTCAACCTGAATCCGGCAGAGTTCTCCCTCTTGCTCTCCGAGCTGCCCAAAACATTCCAGGTGAGTGGGTCGCTGATTGGTCGGTGAGACAATGGACAACGGGTGGGGGGGGTAGATCTGGATGTGCTGGCTGGTAGGAAATGGTGCAGGGAGAGCGGAGGTTTCCTAGAACATGTATCATGGGATTGTGCTTGTTATGTAGATGTTTAATACCTAGATATATGAGGGTTGTGGTGAGATCAGGTGCTCGTCAAAATAATGAAATGGAACAAACTGGCATTTTTCTGTCCCTTTGGCGATTTTTATTGAATTTTTGTTGTTTTTTTTACTCTGCTCTTAAAAACATGTTTCTGCGCGGATTTTACTGAAAAGTGTTGATTTAAGGCACAAAAATGTACATTTTCAGTTTTTAAGGACTCTCAATCTTTGGAAGTCTCCAAACTTTGGCTGCCATTCTCTCGATTATTTTATTTCTGATGCCAGGCAACCCCCACATCCTTCAATTGCCTGGTAAAAAGCTCAAAAACCTCCAAAAGCTCTGGGATTTCCACCCGAAGGATGTCAATGTAATGAGACCACAGTAGGATAAGGTTTCCCCGAAATTGTATTTTACCTTGGTTGACACAGGCCGTCATATACAAATAATTTCTTGGTCCTAGTGGAAAGCACAGCCTTGCTTCTGTCTCCAAGCATTTTCTGTCTTCGCGTTTCATTTTCTGTCTTCTCGTCTCATTTTTAAAAAACTTTGATCACTCCCTAGGATGGAGCAACCAGAATTCTTCACAGCCACATCCGGGCGGCCAACGAAGGAATGGGAGACGTTCTCTCCCCTCGCAATGTGGCCAGCCCGCAGGGTCAGAACAGGTCGCGACCCCCGTCAAGGTCAGTGTCGTCGATATTCCCTTTTCAAGAAGTGTGTAGTATGTGTGTTCTATGTATTGTGTTCATGGTTTCAGTTTTCCTCCTTGACATGCTGAAAACCTGAGTTCGATTCTCTTTGGGGGGGAAGAATTGTTGTTGAGTAACTTGGTGCATCATCTGAGATGTTGAGTTGTAATTTTTCGTGGGTGGTTGGCGGGTGCTCTGGGGTGGTTTGCTCCTTCTTTCCTATCAAATATTAATCGTCCTTATCTCTCCTCCTTCTTTTTTATGTATGTTATTCTCTTCTAACTCCTCTATTCTTCGGCACTTATATGACCTTATTGTGTTGCAAGTGCCGTAAAACTCCTACTACAACTAAACTTGTAATTTATTGCCCACCGTTCTGTCGTCCAGGTCAAGCCAAGGTCATCCGGACGACTTTGAGACGGAGAACCTGAACCCGGAGGACATCTTCAACTCCATCAAGAAGACGTCGGCCGACATACAGAGCCTGAGCATCAGCAGCAAGCTGGACCCGTATGAGGAGGTGAAGAAGAAACACGACTTCCCCTCCCAGGACTCGGGCATACAGGACCTCCGCATGGACAGTCCCGACGGATTGGACCACAAGAGGGGATTCTTCTCCTACGCTCATGTGAGTCGTTTGTCGGGGGATGGGGAGAGGGGGGAGTTGGTGGTTTGTCTTTGTAAATGAGTTATGGTTCTTCTCCTACGCCCATGTGAGTCGTTTGTCAGGGGAGAACGTTGGTGGTGGGTGGTTGGCGGGTGCTCTGGTGTGGTTTGCTCCTTCTTTCCTATCAAACGTCTATCATCTTTATCTTTCCTCCTTCTTTTATGTGTTTGTTACTCTCTTGTAACACATCTAGTCTTCGGGACTTATATGACCTTATTGTGTTGCAAGTGCCGTAAAACTTTCTACTAAAACTTTTTAAAAAGGAAAATTTCATGAGTTCCCTTGTAAGTAAATCATTAATTGCTCACCTTTAGTAAAGAAAACATTACCATTTTGCTCTGTAGCCAGTGGGAAGTGTTGTGACTGTAGCGTGGTGTTTTTATTTTTAGAAATCTGGTGCTGGCGGCCAGGGGCCGTCCCCGAGTGGTCCGATGTCGGCCGGACCGTTCAGCAAGGCAGACACGGCGACGTCTAGCGAGGAGGTCGGCAAGATTATCTGTGACGTACTGGAGGAGTTGTCTAACCATAATGAGAGGTGAGTGGAGAGGGGGAGAGGGAGGGGGGGAGGGAGGTCGGCAAGATTATCTGTGACGTACCGGAGGAGTTGTCTAACCATAATGAGAGGGGAGAGAGGGAGGGGGGGGGAGGGAGAGAGGGAGGGAGGTCGGCAAGATTATCTGTGACGTATTGGAGGAGTTGTCGAATCACAACGAGAGGTGAGTGGAGGGGGTTGGGGGGAGGGGAGGGGCAAGTTTGTCATATATTATCCAATAGTTCTGGCAAATGTCAGTTGATATATTCAATTATGATTTTGGTTTAATTTTGTCATAAATTATTCAATACTTTTGACGAACGTTCTGTTGTCAGTTAGTATATTCAATTATGTTTTGATTTAATTTTGTTATAGATTATTCAATATTTTATTTTTTGACGAACGTTTTGTTGACAGTTGATATATTAAATTATGATTTTGATTTAATTTTGTCATAAATTATTCAATACTCATGACAAATTATCTGTTGTCAGTTGATATATATTTAATTATGATTTTAATTCAAGTTTATGGCAAACATTTTGTTGTCAGTTAATATATTCAATTTTGATTTTAGTTTAATTTTGTCATAAATTATTCAGTAAGTATGACAAACGTTGTGTCGCCAGTTGATAAATTTAATTATTGTTTATTAATACTTTTGACAAACGTTCTGTTGTCAAAGTGGAACAGCTTAAGGGATCAGCTCTATATAAATTAAGTCATTATATTATATATTATTATCATTATTATGATTGTGTTTGCAGAGTGGAGCAGCGTAGGGGATATATGCTATATAAATTAAGTCATATATTATTATGATTATTATACTGATGATGCTGCTGATTGTGTTGTCAGAGTGGAGCAGCGTAAGGGATCAGCGCTATGTCAATTAAATCATTATATTATATATTATTATCATTATTATGTTTGTGTTGTCAGAGTGGAGCAGCGTAAGAACGCCATGCAGTGTCTTCAGGGCCTGGTGGACAAAGGGGCCGTGTCTGAGAGTCAGCTGGAGGAACATTTCAAGTCTTTGTTGTTGATTCTTCTGGAGACACTGGGAGATACCAATGTGAGTGGTCTGTCTGTCTGTCTGTCTGTCTGTCTGTCTGTCTGTCTGTCTGTCTGTCTGTCTGTGTGTGTGAGAGAGACCCAGCTAGAGGCACACTTCAAGTCTCTGGATGGAGGTTGGAAAGTGAGTGGTCGACGGATGGAGGGGTTTGTTCCGACTTTCCTGTGAAATATTTATCGTCCTTATCTCTCCTCCTTGTTTGTGTTTGTTACTCTCTTGTAACTCGTGGGTGGTTGGTGGGTGCTCTGGTGTGGTCTGCTCCTTCTTTCCTATTAAAAGCTATCGTCCTTCTCTCTCCTCCTCCTTTTTTGTGTTTGTTACTCTCTTGTAACACCTCTGCTCTAATCTTCAGCACCCATATGACCTCATGTATTGCAAATGCTGTAAAACTCTTTCTAAAACTAAAGCTCTTGTAACAACTCTAATCTTCTGCATTTATATGACCTCATGTATTGCAAGTGTTGTAAAAACAACTTGCTTTAAAAAATAAAAGAAAGAAGAAACAGAAGAAGGTGTAAAAACGCTGACTTGTACATCCCCAGGGGGACGTGAAGGTGATGGCGCTGAAATGTCTCCAGAAGATGTTGCAGAAGTTCCCGCGCAGGTTTGAGGACTACGCGGAGCTGACCATACTGAAGGTTCTGGAACTACACAAGGATGACTCGTACAGAGATGTAAGTACACGCTACCGTCATACGACACGTGACACACGACACATGACACATGACACATACAGAGATGTAAGTACACGCTTCCGTCATATGACACATGACGCATGACACATGACACACGACACATACAGAGATGTAAGTACACGCTACTGACACATGTGACACACACAAGACACGCAACACACGACACATACAGAGATGTCAGTACCCGCCACTGACTCGTAACACAACACAACACTGACACGCCACACATGACCCTTACCCGACATAAACAGAGATGTAAGTACACGCCACTGACACACCACACTGACACATGACACCTACATGTGACACGTACACACGACACGTACAGAGATGTAAGTACACTCACCTACACAGGACACTAACCACACCACCACCACCACCCCACAGCTCACACATCATCACTTGCTGGCTTCTGCCTATCCTGTCCCACTTTCCTTTTGGTTTGCAGCAGTTACAACAAAACATTTTTGGACTGTTAAACATTTCTTTTCTTTTTATTTATTTTTGTTTGGTGAGATGGGGTGTTTTTGTGTGTGTTTTGGTTTTTGGGTTGTTGGGGTTTTTTTTTGGTCAGTTATGTTTTGGGTTCTTGTGTAGTTGACATGCTCAGCTTTTGAATGTTCTCCTGACTGAAAACAGTGCAGAGACGGTCTACCTTGAGTCTTAGTAGAGTTAAGAAAAGTGAGTTAGGATTAGGAGGATTTTGAGTTTTGTTTTGATGAATGTTTCTGTTTTGGGGAAATTTTAAAATATTTCTTTTTCAGAGTGTTTTTTTTTTTCTTTCTTTTTTTTTTTCGTGTGTGTGTGTGAGCTTCTTTTTGAACAATTTGCTTTTGCTTTTTTTTATTTGTTGACTATTGTACCGTCATTTGCTTGATTTGTTTGATTTGTTTGTGGGTTGTTGTTTTTTTTCCTTCTGTGAAAGTTGTATGTCTGTGTGTGTGTGTGTGTGTGTGTCTGTGTGTGTGTGTGTGTGTGTGTGAGTGTGTGTTTGTGGGAGGAGTGAGAGTGTTTATTTATGTGTTCTATGTGTGTATGTATTATGTATGTACGTTATAGTGTGCGTGTGCAGCAAAGGAAACAGCCTCTAAATTGTGTCACGATGGGAGCATAAAACAAGTGTCCGTGTGGGTATTTTTTAATTAATATTTTTGGGGGGTGGGGGGAATTGGTTTGGGTTGGGGGGTTGTTGTTGTTTTGTTTGGTTTTTGTTTGTTTTTTTGGGGAGGAGATTATTGTTGTTGTTGTTGTTGTTGTTAGTGTTGTTGTTGTTGTTTTTTGTTGTTGTTGCTGTTTTGTTGTTGTTGTTGTTGTTGTTGCTGCTGCTGCTGCTGCTGTTGTTTTTGTTGTTATTGTTCTTGCTATTGTTTTTGTTTTCGGGGGGTGGGG